AATATATTTTTAAGCTAAACATGAATATCCTAGGTTATTTTGGATGAATTTTTCATCGAATCGGATCGAAGAATGTACGAAGAATGCTCGTATGCAAGGGAATGCAATTTATATCACGTGCAGAATAGACACCTAACCGTTCAGGTTTCCAGGTTGATAAAAAAGTTACTTACATTCATGTTCACATTCCATTGTCTTTCAGCACACCAACTTTTCAAAGTCTTAAAGCCTGTTAGCGAACTATTATAATTAACCGATTTCAATACAATGCATACAGGATAATTATCTCTTTGAAGTGGTATTCGTTACGGATTAATATCAACTGAAGAAATTTCGAAAAAATGAGAGGTACAGAACAGCCGTTTCGTCTCACTATGGCACTCCCCAGCATTACCTACCTAAAACCCGTTTAGGGATCAAACTCGTGACCTTCAGGCCCCGTGTTGGATGCGCTTACCATTTAGCCACAGGGTCAGAATCCAGTGGTTCCTTCCTTCTGAAGCATGACTATCCACCAAGATCATCAGTTGACACATACTTCACTTCCAACTGGTTGATCCCACAAGTCACATACAGCTTCTCATTAGAACTTTAGGATATCTATCTGGAAGCATGGCATTAATGAACACTACACAGTGATGTATTCTGAGGTTAATGGGAGTTTTGTATTCAAGGCGGTATTCATTAAGGATTGATATCAGTAAGGAGACTATTAAAAACTTGGGAGTACTGGAAAGCTGTTTCATCCTAGCATGGGTCTCCTCAGCAGTTTTAAATGGTTTGGCAACTGAGTCAATACTATTCGATTACACATTATGTTGTAACCCGTTTGGCGGCTAGCAGTTCAATCCAGCACACGCGTTTCGACCTATTTGGGACCTATCAGCTGGATGTGCTTGCACCATAGTGCATAGTGATATTGTTCTCACTGAGACTCGAATTCATCCACCTTTTACAACCACTGATATAAAGAGTGAGTTTAAAGGCTACTCTATCAACTGGAAAATAACCAATAAGGTTCCTTCTTTTAATAAAAACACTCTCTCTCCCCTTTCTCCGATCAAAATAACGAAATCTAATTGGTTATTTTAGCGGTCGCTAGCGTAGCCTTTTGGGATACTCAAAACAAGCTATTAAGTTTTTTTTATTCCAACTAGAGATGTGATTCTTTCCACGATAGACTGAAATTTGACTAGCTAGTTGTTAGGATAATCTTCAAAGTCGTCCAATAACACCTTTTTAGCGTATACCGTAACACTATGGCATGTCGTAATCCTAATGCAGACAGTAAAAAGGAAAAGTTAAAGACAGTAGCTCTAAAGGCCACCCTAACAAATGAATTGGCAAACAAGACACCTTTACTTTATAAAAATCTACTTTTCCAAACTTAACTGACTATGTCAATCGTTACTGAGGTGATCTTTACAACCACTCATTAAAGGACATCAACTATAGTTAAAGAGCACTTGGATAACCATAAATAATCAACCACATGACAAGCTTCCGGACCTTCAGGTTGCTAGCTTAACTGATGTTCGCTTTCTGGGTGTATAGCTCCTTCCCAGAACAATTTTTTAGTGTTATATAGATCAACGGCATGTAGGAAGACACAAGTGAAACATAACTATACACAGGCACAGAGAAATTTTTGATTGATATGTACTTCGGCGTGCTGTTTGTCTTAGAAGAGATTTCGTTCGTGATGTAACGTTGTCAACCAGTCCTAAATCTATTCTAAGACTTCTTCCTAAGACTGAAGCTCCTAGGATAAAATAATCTGCAGTTATATAAACGAATTCATGCATAGAACTTGGTATAATTTCCCCATGGATACTCCAACGGAAAACTGTAATAGGTTTTTGAAGGTTGTTTAATCTTTTTATTATCGGTATTTTATACCCTTAAAATTCCTTTTATTTACTCTTGAGAAGTCAATGGTTGCTCTAGGTCATTTTTGCATCTATTGAATGTGGTTGCCGTTCTTTAACTTTGCGAACAAACTTATGTAGGTTTCTTCTAAAAAAAGCAGAGTAGAAAGTTGTTTTGACCAAGAGAATATGACATTTAGTGTAACTTTTTACTGAATGATAAAGAAAGTGACCTTCTGAATTCTTCTCCTTTTATCCACTAGATTTTAAATAAAGATTGTAATGATGATTAAATTTGTTGAACATTTATATGCAAATTAGACTTGTTTAAAGACAGTTATGATAACTACTTGGATTAAGTATGAAGTTATTGATCATTACTTATTGGGCTCAAGCAGTTCACATTCTTATTGTACATTCAGCCAATAATCTATTAGTTCGTACACTCTTCAAGGTCATCCGATCTATATAACTACTATTATATGAATAATAAGGAGCGAGAAGAAGGAGATACGCTGGACCGCGGAAAAGAACCCAGAAGACCTGGATTTCGCCGGTGGCTTATGTCTAATGTCTTGTGGCACAAACTTGAAGATCTACAGGGGAAAACTAACAAGTTGACAGAAGAGGCGATGCAGCGAAGACGGGACTTCAAGTGAATGTAGAGAAGACGGAGGTGATGAAGATACCCAGCCAATAACAAAAACTACAACAACAAGCACCAGTCACCATCAACTTAAAGGAAGTAGCCCCCTTCACCTATCTAGGCAGCATTGTTTCAACTACAGGCGGTACAGAGGAGGATGTCAAAGCCAGGATCGGAAAAGCAAGACAGGCGTTTTTTGCCCTAAAACCAGTGTGGAGATCTGCTTCACTGCACTCAGCATAAGGCGTGGACAACATCCGGATTTTCAACACTAATTCAGTCAAGTCAGTGATTCTTTATGGCTCAGAGACTTTGCACGTTACGAATAGCATTTCCAACAAACTACAGACATTCATCGACAACTGCCTACGCCGGCTCGTTACTGAAGATCAGATGGGCAGAAAGAATAAGCAGCAAGGAACTCTGGCAACGAGCTAACCAAGAACCTATTGCTCAACAAATATGCACTGGAAGGAAGTGGAGATGGACTGGACATACATTGAGAAGGCCGACTGGGTACATCACGCGCCAGTCGCTCTAGTGGGACCCAGATGGGAAGCGACCAGTTGGGCGTCCGACGGTGACATGGGGGAGATCGTGTGAGGAGGAAATGAGAGCTTGTGGGCAGTCGTGGAGCCAGGTTCAAAAGATTTCAGAGAACAGAGTGGAATGGAGACGTGCTACTGAAGCCCTATGTTCCATTAGGAACCCAAGGGACAAATAATATAATGATATGAAAAATAAGATGTCATGTGATTGTCTTGAAACATTATTGAGCCAGTAAAGATATACAAAATATGGTCAATAAACAGTACCAATACAAGTCTATCAAACCATGGCCATCCGAGATAGTCAAATTGATAAAATATGCATAAAAATATATCCAAAGGAAAGAAGCAAGGCGAATAGAAATAAACGAGTGGCAAACATTACCAAGATACACTTAGTTTTTGCAAACAAATGAAAGGAATACATTTTAGCCACTGGTATACTCTGCTGATCGGATTACATTCACAGCCTTAACCTCTGATTTCTCTTGATCAGCATCAAGATATTTCAGCACATTACACAGAACCGTGAATGTATAAATTCAGTGAATTGATATCATACTGACTTCCGGTTAAACCACAACTTGATCAATCTAATTATAAATTTAGACATCATTTTATGTCTGTAGCTCATGTCCCATTTAACTGTTCCAGATTCTACGTTGGCCTGCCTGTCTGCCCACAAGTATTTATAATAATAATAATAATAATTTATTTTTTTGTTTAAATAAAACAGAAGTCTTTTGTATACCAAAAGATTGTGGAAACAGAGGTTTTCTGGTTCACTTCATGGATGTAGACGGCTGTTAATGACAAAATTTTAACCAAGTCAACACTTTCCATCTATTAAAAGAAATAATAATACTTGACTTATGAATTAATTCCTTCGATAACATTTTTTTAAAAAGATCGATTATATGATATCATTCCAATCGACCTGTCTGTCACACGTGCAGATAGAGAAAAACAAAATGGACAAGTTTATGAAAAATAACATTTTAGGATTAAAAAGTTTGAAATGAATGAACCAATCACAATTATTTGTTATTCCTGTCAAGGTCATATTTCTTTATAGAGAGGTTAATATCTAAACCTCACAAACTTATCATAAAAACTTTGATATTTCTCTATTAAAGGGTTTTAGCATGGTTCCTTAACAAAGATAATTAACCATTCGGCTGCTCACAGTAAAACATTTTTCTGTAAGGGAAGAATTGGTGTAATGGATAACATTCTGCTGAATGAATGCTCAAGATCGACTTCAGAGTAATACTTATGAATTTCTTTAACATGTAGAAACGGAATGGAATATTATTGGTTCCGAGGTTTACGTCATAGGGTATTGGTTACTAGTTGATAAGTCGTTTTTGGATCCAATTCAATCTTTCAAGTTATCATTAACTGTCTAGTTGATTCAGTGGTAGATCTTCTTGATAAGTTGGTGGAGGACACATATTCAAGTATTCAATTATCTACTTCGGGAAGAGGATTTTTGATGTTCTTGCTATAAACCATAATCTACATGTTTAATCGGAAGAAAACTTTAATTTCTGTGATTTCTGTAGCGCATTGTGACGAATATTTGTAGCTCGAATTGGGGATGGTCAGAGTAAGTTGTTCTCTGAGTTAGGGTTATTCTAGAACAGTGGAAAGCTGCATCTCCTGTGAAATAAGAGTTGGCGATTTTGCTAGTTTGAAGAACTGAAAATGACTAAATAGTAATAAGCTGTCTGTGAGACCTGATGGTTAAAATACCGTGGCAGAGTAGCATGTACACACTTCTAAGGAGTCCCATACTGGGACGAAACAACTGTCTAATGCTCTCAGATTACCAGTGGTTCTCCATGTATACCTCCAAATTGATTTTCTGATTGTTCATTACGATTATGTTAAAGGCGTTATTCATTCTTTGATAAAATAAAGCTTGTTCCTTTACAGAGTATGTCGTCTAAATATCGACTGACTGATCATATTCGAACAGATATTATGGCTACGAAAGACCAGTGAGTGAGTTAATTTCATAGAAATAAGAGTTTTTAATGTTTTAAAGAGTATTTCAAAATAATTTATTTTCAGAAGACAAATCTTTCACCTTAAGATTCCCAAATAGGACGAAACACCAGTCTTGGATCCCACTGTTAACCATTATCTATCATTATAACAAAAAGCAGTTCAGTGTAGAGATAATTTGAGGTAATTTCAATCTCAAAGATGTATAGCTGTAGTTGAATATTCTTGTTTTGAATCAAAATATTCAATATTTTAGAATAATTTGTTTCATTTTGTTTGAAACATCACCGTAGACAAATAGGTTTGAACGATTTCTACAGGTTAGGTGTTAATGCCAAAGATAGACGTGGTTGGTGAAATTGAATAGGTCTAAGATAACGTATGTAATTGAACAAGATTGGTTGCTAAACTGGGTCACTATAAATCATAGTAGAAATAAAACTTTGACCAACAACCTGGTCTTATAGGCTCAGTTGATAGAGCACCATGCTTGAGACTTAGTGATCAATGATACGAATCCTGCTGCAACTCAGATTTCATTTCACCTTCCATCATCATCCAGTGTGAGTACAAGTCTGCTAAACCACGGCTATATCAGATAGTTAAACTCAAAAGTAAAAGAAATGATGACATACAAAACGTGAACAGATTGGCAGGATGAAAAGAAGTAGTTGGTTCGATATTTTAAAGGTTAAGACTATGAAAATTGAAGAGATTAAATAAATCTCTTTTGCATGCAATACAACAGAGGTCAACGCAGACGCCCATTGACAGGTTTCTTTCCACCCTTTAGATAACCTTGAAACAGAAATTTGTCGAGATTCGAGGGCTAGTCTCCAAGAAACATTCAGTCATCATACTTTTCATGGAACCATTACCAGTTCTCTTTGCAGCTAACCGGGATAGTGAATCTTCTTGAATTCTGTTGAAAAGAAGTTGCATTTAAAGAAATGATGGATAGTGGTTAGCAGTGGAATCCAGGATACACATTTCGTCATTTTTAGGACTCATTGGTCAGCTGGATGTACCTGCCTCCCAGTGAGTGATGTTGTTCCCGCCGGAATCCGAACTCGAGACTGAGCGCTTCAAACGTCAGAGCGTAATCCACTAAACCACCGAGCCATGATAGTCACTTCTTGTGCCACAACTATATTTTTAGTACAATTGTTTTTATATCGTACAGTCATTGATTGGACTGAATTGATCAGTCTCTATTGGCATATGGGCTCCTGTGAGAATGCCTTGATCTTACCTGTTGATACTAGAACTATACCCGTCGCACAAGAAGTGGCTATCGTAACTCGGCGGTGCAGTGGATTACGCTGTGGCGTATGAAGCGATTGGTCCCGAGTCCGAATCCCGGTGGGAACAACATCACTCACTGGGAGGCAGGTACGTCTAGCTAACTAGTGAGTCCCAAATAGGACGAAATGTGCATCTTGGATTCCACTGCTAACCACTATCTATCATTACTATACATCATTATAACACAGGCGATATCGCGGCATCCGCACAGGAGTTCATGTGCCAACAGAGACCTACCAACTGGATCCAATCAACGACGGTATTATACAAACAATAATACTAGAAGTTACATTTGTTATTCATTGATACTTGTAATTTCCTGTTGCTATACTGGATCGCATTACTCGATGTCTATTACCAGTTACGCTTCAATGTGGATACCTCGATACTAGCGAATATTCGTCTTAATGATTGGCGACGGAATTCAGGAAGCATATAGCCTCCTATGTAGCGCTCGTTAGTTGAATAGGCTTCTGCCCCGTGAGTGACATTGCTCCCACTGAAATTTGATCCCAGTATCCATCACTTCAAATGCCAAGGCGTTATCCACTGGTGTGTCGCCACTACGGTAACCAGCATTAGTTGGCATTTATTGACACTTACAATTTCACTGGGGTGCAGATGCATCCAGCTGACGATTCCTAAATGGGATGAGACGAATATGCTGGGTTCCAGTGTTAGCCACTAGACTACAATCGAAGTTGTATTTGTCAACAAAACAAAATATTGTTAAACACTGAAGATTTTATTCACTAAATTGTATATAACTGTGATTGCACAGTTACCGAGAATGAAACAACCTTAAACATACTCTCCGCTGAATATCTCAGTGAATAGGTAATGTTAGAGAGCTATTTTACCATTCATGTTTGTAAACTACTTTTGAATATCAATCACTTTTCATTTACCATTAATGATTTCTATTTGACATTTATATTTGTTTGAAAGACTATTTTTTCAAATCATGCTGGTGATTGAGTGTTTAAATAGTTGTAGTACCTTTCTGTATAAAGATGATATCGATGAAAATATTAAACAGAACAAATAGTACTTGAAAAGTGAAAGTGTATAACTTATTCATGACAATTCGTATAAATCGACTTCTTCCTCATTGGAAAATAGGGATACTAACCTTGACCTGATTAAGATCAAACTTGTATTCAAGTGTCAGTTTGTTTGTCGAGCTGTAAGATAGACGGTACATGAACTGGCATATCTATACATTTAGACGATAGCTCATCCTTCAAGATGCATACATTCCAGCTATTGAGGAATAAGAACCGTGGAATTCAGGTTAAAAATGTCTTTTTAGTGTTAGATAACAGGAGTCAATGGATAGGAAATGCTCCTTAACCTAGGTTTCTGCCGTGATGGCTTTCATCAGCAATATGTATCTGAAAACATGAGAAAACTGATGTTCTGTCAGTGATTTGAATCTTCTTCACCCAATGCTGATGTCAGCCATCCAACCACCTAGCTATCTAAGTCACAGACACTAGTTGGTAATTGATGTAGCTCCTTAGACCTTAGTGATTAACGCTGATCAAATTTTACCGATTGAATTTCACCTTGTCAAGAAAAATGAATAATCTCCTCTTGAGACTGTTAGCAACTGGATTACTTTTGAAGCCTAGACAAACGACTGTTCCTCCTTTTAAATTGTCACTTATTTCTATGCATCTCTATGTGGTTTCTAGAAACTGGTAAATATGAGGACATATATGCAACTGAACATAGAAGTGTTTATGACACCAAACAGTAAATTTCCATCATATTTGTGTGTACTTATAGTGTGATAGAAGTATGTATTTGCATTCAAAGCAGTTCTCAAAATTCCTCATAATGTCATATATGAACCAATACCATTTTAAGTAAACCAGCTTTGATTTCATATCTGGATTACCAGGACAGCAAGTCATTTGAAAACCGAACACCAGCAGGAGATATTCGGATATCAACACATTCAATGGTTAGAATCCATGTTATTTGATGATACCACGAGACGTATTGATAGAATTGTCTAGGTGGATTACATAGTTAAATCGAAAACTAGAGGGCGATGGCTGTAGTATTTTACATTTTGGGGTTAGCAAACACCTTTGCATTAATGAATAAGGCAGATGAGTAATGCAGCACAAAACTGAGTTCTAGGTGATATCTGAGATCGGCTGCGTAGATTTGTATAGCCTCTTTTGTGGAAACTGTCAGAGATGTGCACTTCAATTCGTTGCAGCGCTAGCTGTACGCAAATTCAATGTTTCCCAGTGTTTTCTCAAAAGAAGTAGTACGTTCTTAGCTTAAACTTAAGCTTATCCCATTATCGAAGTTGGTTCCAAGAGTTGTTGGTCTCGTTGAATTATGCATTTTTAGTATTTATCAAATTTGTTTTATTTTACTGACTGCTATTTCCAGTTTTTGCATAAATTGCCTTCACAAACAAATGTGTAATCAGGTTGAAATTCATCATAGACTGACATTAGTTGAAAAACCATTGGAAACCTGAGAATATTGGACACCTGTTTCCTCCCTGTTTAGGACTCCTCACCAGTGCTCACCCACGACCCCATCCCGCCTGGGATTGAACCCAGGAGCTTCAGGTTCTGTGGCAGAAGTAGGGGATTTGGATCACTGGATTCCGATCCAGTGGCTAGATGGTTACTTGCTGACCGTGGAACCTGGAGGGCCTGGGGTCTATCCCTAGGGTGGTCGTGGGTGCGCACTGCTGGGAGTCCAACTGTTGTCAGTTCATGGTGAATTCCAACCTGAAATCAATTAATAAATCTTGACAAAACTCCGAACTGAAATATCTAAGCAATCAGATTACGTAGCTTATGTACATCACATTTTCAAATAAAAGATGTCATCTAATTACGTTATCAGAATGAAGTGTGTGTGTGTGTGTGTGTTTGTGTATCTATACATATTCATGGTGATAAAAGTGTACATATTATAACGGTGTCTAATACTATGTACATCTTGTACGTAGAATTACTTAGGTTAATGTTTGGTAGACTTTCGATTAGATTGATACCACCATAGGGAAGTGATAAATTTACCTGATGTCCAAGAAACTGAACATCACAACGTAGAAGCGATGACGAAAAGTGTCTACATTATGATGGTCAATTAAATTATCATTTATGTTTATCAGTCTGACTACTTGGGATGGCTGTGGTTTGGCAAGTATGTAGGGATACTGACTAAAGGTGAAATAAATATCTAGGCGGTGGCAGAAGATCACTGGTTCGAATTCTGCAGCTGAACAAGAAATGTGACTGAGATGACACAGCTGTAACCTATTCATCATTGGATAACAGCTAGTCAATCAAAGACTAATAATGAGTCACTGGGTAATCAATAAGTTTGAGATTGCACTTTTGTCTCCTATGACACCTTTATGCATTACTTTGATGAAATAATGGTTTATAGATGAACCTATCACTAATTGAGATAGTTGTAATATATGGTAAATTTCCCTTTAATATAGTTGTGCCATGAGTGCGACACAAGTCAATAAATTTCCCCAGTAAAACGAAGACTTTTTGGATAAAAACAAGTAAACAAAACAGCTGGGACAAATGTCATGTTCGATGTATTAGTGGTACATTTTACCAAAAAAGAATCCAGAGATATAATTTCATTAGTGACTGGTATCATTTTCATTCTCACTTGGATACTGAGAAGAATTATCACTACCACAGTTTATGTATCTTTATATCACTGCTCACGTGTGGTGGGATTACTGCCTGAGTAAAGTTGATGTCAGGCAAAGGGTACTAGGCAAGTAAGGCAAGTCAGTCGATGAGATTGTGATCCACACCGAATGAGATGACTTGGACATGTGTTGTGCATTCTGAGCCAACACCTACCTTGACCTGTTATGCTAGGAGAAGTTGGATTAGGTTTGAAGAGGGTTCAAAATGGCTAAGCCAAGACGTGACATCAGTCAATGAAGTCTGTGACTATTGGTCTGAGCTGTATGGGGAGCTGTGGACTACCTGACTGGGGTCCTCGAGACGACAGATATCAGTGGTTGGGGACTCTTGATGACATGGCTGAAAATAGATTACAATGGCGCAGCTGTATTCACTCCTTGATGTCTTCTAAAGCTTGAATGTACTTCTGTGAAGTATGGCAATGTGAACCGATGCAACTGTGTGCGAGGTTCTATGTTGATTTTGTCTATCTTTTTTCCGTCTGTATCGATTAATGAGAGGGTGAGAAGGGAAAGAAGAGATTAGCTGTACTTCATGAAAGTGACATACTCTCCCTCCACACTATTCATATCCTATCTGTTTGATTGTTCGGAATTTTCATCAGTGATTTCCTTTAGACAAATGACACCAACTCATTCGTGATCAAGTGAAATCTGCATTCTAATTTTATGAACAAAATACATTTACACCAGTAATTATCAGCTTGATTGTTTTGTTCATTAACAGGTTGTGAACATAATTTAAAGTGGATTTTTAATTTCAAAGCAGAAATTTTTTGAATGACTTTAAAGAATCCCTTGACAACTTCTAAGTTAACCAATTACGGTCCTCCAATTTATGAAAAATTAACTTCCAAGACGAAATATCGAAATCTGATTGGTTACTGCTAGCCTGACCTTTAAAATCACTCAATATTTTATCTTGATTACAGTTAATATAGTTGTTAGCTGTGGATAGCGTTAAAGAATTCCGGTTTATACATATCCCTTTGTACAATAAAATCGATGAATACATCTTCTAATGATGCAAACAAACATGCTTAACGTTTTAAAGGGTAACTTAGAGATATAGAAAACTATGAGAACAAACAGAGAAACTACATGTAACCAATTATCTCAAGACCAAGAGTATACCAAGGTGAGATGCTAACTGGAGAGGATGATGCTGGAGTATCAAGAGAAGTTACTGACAGCACACTTGGCATAACTGGTCATCAACTCATGCCTTCACGATTCAAGCTAACAAATCAAGACAGTTGCTAACAGGAAGGAATCTCAACAGTCTCAGAAAGTCATAAGATTATGAAACTAAATAGTAATGCTGGATAGTGGCTGGCAATGGAATCCAGAATGCATACTTCGTCCTGTTTGGCAATTACCAGATGGTTTTACATTCACCCCAGTGAATGAATGTGTTTCCCCTGTGGCTAGAATCCGGAACTGATCGCTTAAAACGCCAAAGCGTTATCCATTAGGCCATTGAGCCACAGTAACCACTGCTTGTAAGACGAGCATAGTTTTTATGTTGGTACTTGCAATGGAAATAAATGCCTATGATATTAAGTTTCGACATACACAACATATGACTAAATCTTAGTAACTAAGATCAATTCCAAACCGTACTCGTCAAAAATCTCTAGCTAATGATTTCGGTTGTTCCGCAGAGCTCATTCAAAAGTCCTACAATTCCTAGATTCACAGACACTGGATTCATCATTTAGCACCATAATGGTATTTGGCCAATTAGGATCTTCCCAAACACCTACACTTTATGCAAAGATCAACATTCATGATAAACATGCTGTCAGAACCTAGGCATATTGACAAATACAGACGACTTTAGAATACTTGAAAGTTGTTTATAAAACTCTCCCTACAGCATGTCAATTATCGTTGCTAGGCTTAGTCAACCGAAATGTTGAGTTTACCCTTTTTCTATAGAATCAGAACCGTAAAAATACATTTTTTTCAAGGAGTAATGGATTGCCATCTTGAAGCCCAACAAGTCACTAGATATCTGGGGAAAATTCAAATAAAAGTAATCTTAGGTGTTTTTATGGCGGTTCATTTGTCCTTCAAAAATAGATGCTTTCCTATCCAACAGAAAGGATCCGACATTTGCACTCGATAGACTATGGTTTCAAATGAAATAATATTGACAATGTAGAAATTCACGGAATGACATCGGTTGGGAAACCATTAAAAACCTTGGAGCAAATAGATAGAAGTAGGGAACTGCGGAGCATTGGACTCCAACCCAGTGGTTGAGTGGTTAACATGTTCGCCGTGAAACCTAAGGGTTCGGAGTTCCGTCCCTAGCCGAATCGTAGGCATCTACTGCTGAGGAGTTCCATGCTAGAACGAAACAGCTGCCCAACGTTCCTAGGTCCTCAGTAGTTCTCCTAATGATGTCATCACTCGATGAATGCGACCTTAAAAACAAAATCCCCATAAGCCCCAAACTATATATATATATATATATATATATATATATATATATATATATATATATATGTTTGTTATGAATGATTTCGCCACACTGGTAACATACTTCAATAGTCTCCTCTTCAATGAAGAAGTAAAAAGAAGAGGTTAGATTTCAAACAGTGTCGTGACTTTCAACTAAAATACTATTACAGCTTTATAATGTCCCTCGTTGACTGGACTGTTATATCGCGACTCGCTGGCCTGAGAGACTACGCTTTGGTGTTTGAAGCGATCGATCCTAGGTCCGAGTCTCAGCTGGAGCAACGTCATTCACTGGGTGGAAGTACATTTAGATGACGAGTCCCGAACGAGATGATACGCGGGTGTTGGATCCTAGCGCCAGTTGCTATCTATAATTAGTAACATGATGCTTCATTGCATAAGGTGTATTTTTACTTCTGTAATCCCGGCTTAGTATATTAGAACAAATAACTAAACAAACAAATACTTTGTATTATTCCTCAACATTTCGATCTTGCTAGGAAAATCTTTTTCAAGAGTATGAATCTGACATCAAGTTTTCTGGTTTAATATTCAATTTTGGTACAGAAAGTGGTGGCCTTTACAGTCATCCGATTACAATAATGTTTATGAATCATAGAAAAATGCTGCTCAATATGTGTAAAGTTTTGAATTATTGAGTGTTTCTTGTGTCGAAAAAGCTGATGAGTCAACCATTTGTATATGGGTTAAGTGACTAAAGATCACACATTTCCTGATTATGATTTAACTGTGAATTAGTGACTCATTCTGTGGCTAGTGTGTATTACTCATCCGTTGAAAAGAATTGTAATCTGACTGACTGGATTTCCATTTATAACTTATACTTAAACATGCAGTAAATATTGTGTTGGTAGTTGATATAAAAAATATCAAAAAAAGTTATATTAGTTTGTGTATACACATCACATGAGATATAAATAGTTATATGATCAACATTTTGTTTAATTGTAGAAATTAGACAAGGTCATAAAGATGGAAAGAAGGTCTTCTGAGTTGAACGAAGGAACAGTAATATTTTGAAATAATACCAATTAACTGTTTAAATAGCGACCTAACAAATATTTGTTGTACAGTGTGATTGACTTTTGAAATTTTTGAAAAAGTTGTTCAATATTATTATTGTTGTTGTTTTGTGAAGGCAGAATAAATGCATATATCAGTTAGACAACTGTTAATCTATTTTAGTGGGTGATATACGGTGGCTGAAGTACTACAGTTTACTTAGACTCATTTTCTATCAGCCTGGACTTTATCTCAACTGGGTATTGTCTTTATCTTCTGGACAGGTATGAAAGTGACAGTTTGGTTATCTTTCAGAACGCCGAGGGTCATTTCAGCTGAGCTCATTATGGCTAACAACTAACTCTACGGAAAAGAATGTCGTTACTATTATAAGTGGATTTGCACGAAGTTCAGGTATATATCACCTGGCACTCTAGTTTTCATTAGACGTCTATTACACACTCATCATTACTGGAATTATTCTTTCTACTGAAACTTGAAGCAAGTATATGTAATCTTGTATTTCAGTCAGAACTGAGACAAACTCTATAAAAATGACACTTATACAGAGAGTTGGTCAGTCATTTTTAATGTTGACTATGAATAGAATGCTCAAAGAAATAGCAATAACAATCACACCAACACTCGCTGTAGAGTTAACCGTACGCTCTGATACAAACATGAGTATTTTAGGGAAGCGCCTTTGGAACGATGAAATACTTTCCAGGTACCCGTTTCAGGCATGAATGCTACAATAAGACTTCGTAATCATAGTAAAGTAAGGTGTTACTTTTAGATCAACAAATATAACCAGAGTTGATGCTGAGTGATGATTGAGGGGGAAATGAAAATCTGATTCTCGGCAGGATTCAAACCAACGGCCAGTAACTCGACGCCTTCAGCATTTCACTGCGGTTATGACCAGTCAATATAGGCTCTTGAGAATCCCAATGAACTCTGGCAGAGCCTTTAGATTCAGTGACCGTTCTTGACCTTGTTTGAAGGTTACTTGCTCTTCTATGCAGCGGTTTAATTGAATGCCTAAAACTAATAATCCTAGTAGAATTTTATGGCAGCATAAAGGTTAATAAAACATTGGAAACACATCAACATATGATTTATCTAAATATTCAGCTACAATACTATGCCCCATTAGAAATAACTCAAAATCTGGGCTCACCAATTTATTTTGTTAGAAAAGCATAGACTAAATTACTTGCAATTGAAAGAGGTGAAAAGATGGTCAGCTTTGATCTGACGAGGCTCTATACCAATTCATATTATACCTAAGGCAATCAGAAATCAACTCACAACTGACCATGAACTCAATAACAAAACTAAAGTTTCCATTGAAGAATAGATTGTGTTTAACTTTCACAGTTTTCAAATTCCAAGACAGAATATATAGACAAACAGAAGGAGTAGCGATAGGATCTCCAATATCCTTGATCGTAGCATACGTACTTATTACAGTTGGAAACAAATGATAATTGGAACATTCCAACCCACACCAAAATTGTGGTGGGGGTATGTAAATGACACATTTACTATGCTGAAATCAGAACACATCCAGAGTTTTTCCACGCTCATTAACTCGATAGTGGATGTGATCCAATTCATTTATGAATTGCAAAATGAAGAAGGAGAATTACTTATGTTGGATTGCAAAGTCGAGAGGGGAGAAGATGGAAGCCTAGACACTAGGGTTTATAGGAAACCAACACAACATACTGGAATAGATACTTAGATTTCATATCATCTCAGTCCATATGTATCAAGGTGGACTTCATAAAATGTTTAAGTCAGAAAACCAGTATAAGGAACTGGAATACATCAAAAAAACACAACTTCTCGATAACTACCCTGCGGAATTTATTGAAAAGTTTATGAGGACTGATAAGAGAAGGTGTGATAATGTTAGTGATGACTGCAACATTCCTGGGAGGGAATTTAATTTCTCTGTAGTGTTACCACATCAGCAAGGTACATTGGAAATCCTACCTGTGTTTCTACAGCTTTTGTCAGGGTCACCAATGACAGCCGGCTTGTTCACTGAAGTATTTCTTCTCTTAGGAGAGTGGTTAGAATTTAAGTATGCCACTTAAAGCTTCAGCATTTCGGCTAAATAATGAGTAGTCTCTACTGATCTCTGACTTACTTATATTCATATCTAACATAACTACTACTCCTGTGTAACTTTTCTAACTGTATATGTTATTTCATCTCTTTCACTGTAATTACACAAACCTAGAAGGCGAATCATATTTTTATGTTGAAAAAAGGTGAGTATTCTAACAGTGGTCATGTGAAAAGCCTACTACTCCTCAAACATAATAAATCGATTAGTATATTAAGAGTAGTTATATCCTTTATCAAGTTAAGTTCATGGTTCACCTGTAAGACTGTTCATCTTCAGTCAGCTGTTTTTCCAGTACACTGTGACACTGATATTGTTAAGTTAATGTCACGGCTTTAACCTAAAACTACGACAGTTGGTTAAAACTTCAAGAAAGCACAACCACAGAAACTGTTTGCCAATTACAAATCGATATATTCCAAAAACAATATTCAAGAACGGCGTGTATCTAAGGTGGAGTGAGGGTTCCTGGTCTATCCTCACAATTAGCTATGAATACAGTTTCTTCCCATTTATCAGGACTTATGACTGAACTGTCGTTCAATTTCTATAGTTATTTCGAAGTTGCAAGAGTCTGTCTGCAAATTTCATATCAATCTAGAGCAAATCAGTGAATTGTCCCATTGGTTTAAAATCCGCCCCAATTGTCGTATTCGCAGAACCACAAATGCATGCCAATAAAATTTAATTCTCTCAGTGACACCGCTAAAAATGAATTTGAAATATACAGTTAAGTGCATTCCTGATTTGCATTATTCCTGATTGTTCAGTAGATATTTCTAAGAGACGTAAAAAAGGATATTAAGGATATATGTTGACTAGAAAGGGAATTCGGGATTCGCTGTCGTCCTGGTCAGGATTCGTCAGCATGATATACTTGCATGCCAGTGAGTGATGGTGTTCCCATTGAGACCACAACCCACTACGTATCACTTCAAACTTCGGTAGGTTATCTGTTAGGTTAATGAGTCATCTTGTCTATTGGATAGTTAAAGCAAATCAACTAATTACCTTCAGTAGTACTTTAAATGAAAATCTCATGAGATAAATACAGAAAAACTTGACTTCTTTAAGAAAACTCCCATGGTTTTCACATGCCTCTTTCTCTCAATCATACTAAAAGATGAAGTAATAAAAGAAAGTCGAGCATTATCAGCATTTGTGTCACAGAAATAGCTGGTCCCACCTGTCTTTTTGTTCTGTGTTCACCCATCATAGGGGACATAGAGACAGTTTCGTATACGAATAATTCCGACCAGTCATTATGAGCATTTTTTATTTAGTTTCTTTCTATTTTATTGACTGACATTAACTGGCTAGTAGGAGACTTTTGGTGCGATGTTAAGTGTTTTTGATATCGGATGTTAGTAGATAGTTGCTTGGATACCGTGAACCAATATTTTGGGCGTATCAACATGCATTAGCTAATGAAAGTGATGTTTCTTCATTGGTGTGAATCCACATCACTCAATGATGCGGTTAGATACCTTACTTCCAAACTGTCGTATTCCATGTTAAATGACTCTTCTCTCTGTTAACTGGCTCCTTTCACTCTTCATACTCTTTGTTTATTCACTTCTCAAGGTGGTGTGTAGCCATTGTTATTCTGTAAGTAGTTTGTGAACAATCTCTTTATGCATGGAATTCGTTTCTTCATCTTTTTCTGGTCATTTAGAGGAAGGAGATGGAAATAAACTTAGGGCTAATGAATCTAAATGTTCATCTGAGTATCTGAGGTATCATCGGTCCACAGATTGATCTTAGTTTACAGTAATGAACAATGAGGTTGAAATGAAAACTTGGGTAACAGTAAAGATATATATCATCGGTCTCCAGAAAAAAGTGTAGTATGTGCATTCAAGGTTTGATCCATTTTAAGTTTATTGGTATTGTAAATATGGCGGCTTCACCTGATGCTTTTGAAATAGGTGTTTTTTTTAGAAACCAATGGAAAGCGAATGATAGTAAAAGTTTCTGTATGATACCTTTGTATTTTTCGAATCGAAAATCGCAGATTTTGCAACTTATACTAAAGTGTTGGTTTGTAATTTCGAAATAAAATAGTAGAAGTCGTCTCACTAGAACGTTCTGAATTGCGTCAACTCACACTTTCACAAATTTTCCCGATGGTTAGCAAAACGTTTACAGCACTCTCAAGCAGAATAGAATTTTCACTGTCTGAAAGATCCTACTGATTCACATAAGTGTTGAAGGAATAATACCTCTGAGAAATTCATGGTTTCTTTTAATGTATGATTTTCATTTGAAAGGATATCGCTGGAGGAAACCATAGATATTATTTTTCAGTATCTAATCCTACTTCTACTTTAAAAGTATGAATTCAAACAGCTTTTACTGAATGATTTCATTTCTATGATGTCTGATGCAGTTGAATGCACTGAGTTGACATGTGTAGTCTTTTTAACATGGTCCTTGCTGACATCTTCAGGGGGAGTTTCAAATAGACAAGACTAGGATATGCAGTCGTCTAGACAGCACTCTACGTGAGGTGCATTGGTGATACATTTATTGTCTGCCATTATGATTAACAATCTCCTAATTTACTGAGTCTTTTCCTTGGAGCACAACCCAAAATAGCGTCTAAAATTCCACTTCTTAGAGCGTGGCATACAGCATCATACGGATGGGAAGAATAACCGTTACATTTATCAGAAAAACGCATAGAGTGAGCTTTATTTAAACTTAAACAGTTTTTAATCCATCAATTACAGAAATTGTTTGGTTAGAATACTTCTGATCACTCAATGATGCTGTCAGACACCTTACTTCTAAGTTGTCGTATTCCATGTATACTGTTTACTGGCTCCTTTCAATCTTCATACGACACTGATCAACTTTAAACTTATTAGTATTGCAAATATGATGGATTCACTCTGATGGTTTGTAACAGGTATCACTTTAAAAGCCAATGGAAAGCAAAAGTTGGTAAACTTTCGCCTAAGATACCTTTGCATTTCTCCATTAAATGGAAAACCGTGAATTTTCATCAGTTGTACTGTAGTGTTGATTTCGCTGCATCGAAATCGAATAGTAGACTCAAGAACATTCGAAGTTACGTCAGTTCACACTCACTAGCTTACCCAATCATTAGCAAAACGAAAACAACACATTTGTACAGAATCAGATTTTCTTTGTCTGAAGGATCTCTACCGATTTGCAGAAATGTTAAAGGAAGGTGATATCTCTGAGAACTTCATGATTCCTTCTGATGTATGATTTTTATTTGAAAGGATAATGCTGGAGGAGACCATTGATGTTATGTGTCAGTACTGAACCGTGCGATCACATCCAGGATATGAATTCAAACAAATTTCTACTGACCAGTGAAATGAAATCGTATACAGTCAAATCGATGTTGTCATGAATAGTCCTCTACCTCCGATTCCCGTGGAGATTATTATGGGGAGTTTCAAACAGAGAGAAATGAAATATGCAATCGACTAGACAGCAATCTATGTAAGGTGTGTTGATGAAACATTTATTGTATGGCATGATGATGAATATGCCTCTGATTTGCTGAAAATTTTTATTGAAGCACACTTCAATAGGGCGCCCACAATTCGATTTGCTACATAGGAAGGGAGAGATTCATCAATGTATTCATTGAAAAGACACATGGAGAAGGATTTATGTAAACTTCAATAGCTGTTACCTCATGATTTAGAGAAAATGCATAGTAACAGAACTTGTCTTCACTCAGTAGTTCGAACACGCGTCACTCAGTGGTAAAGTTAGACACTTAACTGCTGAGCTATTCCCCTTTTAACAGTATACATGGACTGTACTCTGAAGGTAAAAGTGACGAGGAATTGGCTATTGTCGAAGGCTACTTGCGCAAAAGTGCTGTACAGTTGCCGAGATGTCTGTCTTTCTACAACTTACCTCAAATCGGATGAAGTCTACACAGAGATGAATAGCAGACTGACTGCTCGAATGCGAAGCACCCTTCCAGTCACCAAGATAATCTGTGTATATCAGAATAAATGTCCATTGCGATAGTCCGAAGTGGACAAGTTCTAGACTCTTGTCCCCCCACTTTCACCCTTCCTTTAACTCTATCTACCAATCCATATCCACGTGCCTAGCTACATACTTTGAGCGCAGAGATTAGGTGATTCTTATTCACATTTCTTAACATATCCTGAAGGATTTGAGCCTTAATAGTTCACACGGTTTGAACAGTAAAAATGTTCGTCATTTACTTGATGTTGGAGATAATATGGACATGGGAAAAACGTTCAAAGTGATTCATCGACAACAGAAACCTACCAACATTTTACACCTTCTAGTTTAGCATTTGGAAATAAAAGATTGAAACGTGATCTGTGTATTCAGAAAGATGATACTGTTGTCAATCTTGCTTCATCTTGATAATTTAAATCTCGTGAATTGGTGACTACCAAATTTCATGATCTCATGGTCCTCTATATTCCTTATCTCATTCTGTCTTTCTATGTATTTCAATGCCTACCGACACATTCTGATTTGTATTCATCCTATTGATCAGTGTAGTCATCAATATCTGTCTGGCTTTGATTGAGTTCACTCAGTGATCATTATAGTAGTGGACGTTGGTGATCAGAATGGATATAAGTAGTATATGTTGAGAGGGCACCAGAGATCATCGGGAATTACCAGCAATGGTTAGGTATTCTATCCAGAGAAATGCAATGGATGATATGGGCGTGTTGAGAGTAAATCGAGAGGAAGCAGGAGAGGAAATGATGCACACTGTGCAAATGACTGTTTTAATGGAAAGTTTACAATACTTGATGAAAACTGTACAAGATGTTATTTATAAACATGTCTTCCTTCGTCTTTGTCTTTTCGTTCCTTTCAATTCCATTTACTTAGAATAACATTGTGTCTAACTTACTTTTATTTCGTTTCGACCATTTTCTCTCAAATGTTCATTCTATCATTTCATTGTATATATCGTTTGCTTTTAATTGTAGTACAATGTTGTTTTTACTGTCAAATTTCAATTCGTGAAAGCGAAAATTTGTGACGTTGCTTCATGATTTCGAAATGCCTAAAATGATTATTGTTATTGTTTGTATATGGAGTTTCATCTCACTGATTCATCACAGCCATAAATTATTTTGTTTAATGTTTATACACCATCAGAAATTTCTGAATTCTTCATGAAATCAAGAAAATAAAATTTAGAAAAATATTTACCGATCGAATTTGCCGAATATGTACACTCTAATAAATAATTTTATGGGAAAATAGGTAACGCTGGATTTTATCAAATCTTCACTCGGTCAAGGCCATTCATAAGTATTTAAGGTCATACATTTTTGTGAGAATCAATACTTTTTTACTAGAGAAATATATTGTTTACCTAGGTAACACAGGCCTTAATACATCCGATCAGGTAATTAACCAGTGAAAAATGAAACAATTTTAACAGAATTTATTTCACAGGCTTGTAGAGATTTTATTGATTTCAACTGGGTATTAATCACAATAAAGTATCAGTTGGTGAAGCTTTGGAAACATGAGAGGACTGCATAGCAATTTCATTTTTGTGTGGGTACGCCTCAGCAGTGCCCTTCCATGACCTTATGAGACATCGAACCCAAGGTTTCGCGGACTATACGTAACTAGGTTAAAACTCAGTGGACCATATTTTCCTACTTTTGTCAGTTCGCGATAAAGTGACACCGTCATCCGATGCTATCGTTGAGTATCTGTCCTCATGTCTAACTCGGTCCACCCCACCGGTAGCTATTCCTCATTAGAACTTCGGTATTATATATATATATATATATATATATATATATATATATATATATATATATTACGGGAGAGCAACCAATTTCATGTTGTCGAGTCCTGAGTGCACATCGAATCCTATTGATGATATTTGCAATGTGGCCGCAGAGCTTGGAGGCTCAGCATCATGAGGTACATTAGTAGATGATAGGACTAGACAACATGAAATTGGTTGCTTCCCCATGACCAACTAACCCGTGCAACCCAATCCTACAGGGGGTCAGTCGCGGCCCGAATAGCTCAGTGGTAAAGTCTCTGACTACAATACTGGCTGGCGTAGTTTCGAATCTTAGACGGGATATCAGTTCCGTCGAGGTTGTAGATACCCCTTACTAATGAGTACTAATCAACATGGGACCTAGGCCAGGACTTCCTGCCGACTTTCTCAACCAACTAATATGTATATTAGATTATTACTCTGATAAAATCTGTGGTCACTGAACTAGCCTTGTCGTTACTAGGTCATGTTTTCTTTTGGCAATGCAACATCAATCGCACTTCAAGGCTAGGCGCAGAATTCAGGTTTAAGTATCAGTAAGACTTCATCAAACATGATAGTGCAAACTGAATTCTTTTTAGTCTCTCTCAAGGTACACAGAACTGTAAAACTGCTAGGCAGTATAGCTTCGAAGTGCTTAAATGTCAGTCTTCAGGTGTCAATCATGATGTTTATCTGCGGAACTCACCAGAATATTACAAACTGTACGAACACAACAGAGAATCAGTGTAACTAACTGAGATAGTTGTGGCTTGGTAGACTAGTGTTATCAGTACTGTATGGTGTTGATTGAAGGTGAAATGAAAATCATCATCCAATATCACACAGAATGTGTAGATTTTTAATTTATGACAGTAGATTCAGTTTCGTTGTCGTTAAATCTTCGTCAACTAAAATTGCTAAACGAAAGTATAAAAAACCAGACATCCTGTGCATAATAAACACACGCATATTTCATTTTTTTCAATAAATTAAAAATTTTCTGTAACTGCATAGTTGCGTAAAAATTTAACATCATCCAGACAACTGTGACAAACTAAAGCACCCGCTCCGCTTCTATCAGATCATAGTTTTCACTGTCTTATTCCCAAAGCCTATTATGTCAACGATATCTACTATTTACCACCTACGCTTTCCATTCAACCAATGAGATACTGACCCAAAAATTGATTTTGTTTTCTGACCAATTAATGGTTAACCATTTTCCTACTTCTTTCACTCAATCAAGAAAAGCTAATAAAATCTCATTAACGTATTCTCATGTCAGTCTAATGGACATTCAAGCTGGATTACAGTCGATATGATCGGCACGGACTTCCTCGATTATTTATCTAAGTTTCAGGTTGCAACTTATGTTGGAGTTGAGGATTTTGCGGACAAGTTTAATTTCCTCATTACTGTTATGATCCTCATGCTTTGTGCAACAATCGTTACTGTTAAACAGTATATGATGAAGCCGATTTCATGTTATATGGCAACAGATTTGGGAGGAAAAAATCTATTGGATTACGTGGAAAACTATTGTTGGGTCCAAGGCACAGTTCCCATAGCATACTCAGGAAGAGTACCAGAAACAGATGCAGGTTGGGAAGAATTAGAGAAGCACAAACTACGTGAGTCTACGCCTTTTTAAAATCTATTGACAGCGTCTGTTGTTTATTATGTTTAGTAATCTCAAAGTTTTTTTGCTGCACTCTATTCATGTTGTCTCACAGGTATCTAGAGGTAGCTTTTCGTACTTCAAAAGGAAACATCCATCGTTGCAAAACAGCTCGTAAGAATGTATGCTAGTTTGGGCACTGAAATTTCCTTTCTTTGTCACGATTTCTACTGCCCGACATATGCCACTGTATACATTATTCATATACTTTGAAATATCCTGTTGTTAAATCAGTAGTTAGGTTGTGTATGGACAGGCGCGTGAAACGTTATTTCCACGTCTGTCACAGTCTGGTTTTTGGGCTTATTTTTCATGACAGTCCTCAAGGTGTAGAACAAAGCACCACTCATCAAGAAAATATGAATTGGACCTGAGCTGGAAATGTTTGCAAGAACATTTTGTCAGGATGCTACAAAATGTTCGTTGAGTATTAATTTACACTTGTGATTTTGCCTTGCCAAACTGGGTCGAATTAATCCACCTCTGTTGGTATATGCGCTAACTATGTTATTGTTTAACTGGTGACTAGTAGTGAAATTCAGGACTTGCGCCCCGTCACATTTGGGACTCGTCAACTGCTTGCACCCAAGTGAGTGACGTTGTCCCCATCGAGACTCGAGTTCAGTGCCTATTGCTCCAAACTCCATATTTATTGCAATCCCATTTTAGTCTGTTTATTAGAAATGTCACACGGTGAAGAAACAGTTCCATTTACTGGATAACGTTTCGGACACAATTTTTTATTGTATTATTATTATTCATATCAGGTAACTGAACAACTTCGAGACAGAATTATATATTCTTAATTTTCTCTCTTTCTATATGATGACAAGGGTAGTAGAGATTTCCATATGTCTAGGACGAGTACAGAAGCATTTCTATTAGCGCATGTATTTGGTGTTGATTCGATAAACAAACATCTGGTCATCAATCTCTCCTTCCGTCTACCCAACTAAGTTTTTAATACTGTCGCTCTGTACCACCCTACTGTGCGATTGTCTGTAATTCCGTGCAGAGCTGTAGCCGAGCTTTTCTCTAAATTTCCTATCTTATTAGGATCTACTAATCTTGATTTGGCTAAGTTTTTATGCTCTATTGTTCTAATCGACCCTAGTCTACTTACTAGTTTGACCTATATATTTGACCTGGAAATGATTGCAAGGGATTTGGTTAACCAGATTATTTTGCTCAGTTGCATCGATAGGATCTTTTAACCTACAAAGCTTGGTTCTCAGCTAGTTTGTTGGTCTAAATGCCACTTTAATCCCAGGCTTATTGAAAATTCTTCCAAATGTTTCTCAGGTGCCTTCCTTGTATGGTACCACAGCAGAGGCTTTGAGTTCTCTCTCAACCGCATCGACATTATTACCATTAGTAGTACGATTACTATCAGTAATACTTGTATTACTACTACTACTACTACTACTACTACTACTACTACTACTACTACTACTACTACTACTACTACTACTACTACTACTACTACTACTACTACTACTACTACTACTACTACTACTACTACTACTACTACTACTACTACTACTACTACTACTACTACTACTACTACTACTACTACTACTACTACTACTACTACTACTACTACTACTACTACTACTACTACTACTACTACTACTACTACTACTACTACTACTACTACTACTACTACTACTACTACTACTACTACTACTACTACTACTACTACTACTACTACTACTACTACTACTACTACTACTACTACTACTACTACTACTACTACTACTACTACTACTACTACTACTACTACTACTACTACTACTACTACTACTACTACTACTACTACTACTACTACTACTACTACTACTACTACTACTACTACTACTACTACTACTACTACTACTACTACTACTACTACTACTACTACTACTACTACTACTACTACTACTACTACTACTACTACTACTACTACTACTACTACTACTACTACTACTACTACTACTACTACTACTACTACTACTACTACTACTACTACTACTACTACTACTACTACTACTACTACTACTACTACTACTACTACTACTACTACTACTACTACTACTACTACTACTACTACTACTACTACTACTACTACTACTACTACTACTACTACTACTACTACTACTACTACTACTACTACTACTACTACTACTACTACTACTACTACTACTACTACTACTACTACTACTACTACTACTACTACTACTACTACTACTACTACTACTACTACTACTACTACTACTACTACTACTACTACTACTACTACTACTACTACTACTACTACTACTACTACTACTACTACTACTACTACTACTACTACTACTACTACTACTACTACTACTACTACTACTACTACTACTACTACTACTACTACTACTACTACTACTACTACTACTACTACTACTACTACTACTACTACTACTACTACTACTACTACTACTACTACTACTACTACTACTACTACTACTACTACTACTACTACTACTACTACTACTACTACTACTACTACTACTACTACTACTACTACTACTACTACTACTACTACTACTACTACTACTACTACTACTACTACTACTACTACTACTACTACTACTACTACTACTACTACTACTACTACTACTACTACTACTACTACTACTACTACTACTACTACTACTACTACTACTACTACTACTACTACTACTACTACTACTACTACTACTACTACTACTACTACTACTACTACTACTACTACTACTACTACTACTACTACTACTACTACTACTACTACTACTACTACTACTACTACTACTACTACTACTACTACTACTACTACTACTACTACTACTACTACTACTACTACTACTACTACTACTACTACTACTACTACTACTACTACTACTACTACTACTACTACTACTACTACTACTACTACTACTACTACTACTACTACTACTACTACTACTACTACTACTACTACTACTACTACTACTACTACTACTACTACTACTACTACTACTACTACTACTACTACTACTACTACTACTACTACTACTACTACTACTACTACTACTACTACTACTACTACTACTACTACTACTACTACTACTACTACTACTACTACTACTACTACTACTACTACTACTACTACTACTACTACTACTACTACTACTACTACTACTACTACTACTACTACTACTACTACTACTACTACTACTACTACTACTACTACTACTACTACTACTACTACTACTACTACTACTACTACTACTACTACTACTACTACTACTACTACTACTACTACTACTACTACTACTACTACTACTACTACTACTACTACTACTACTACTACTACTACTACTACTACTACTACTACTACTACTACTACTACTACTACTACTACTACTACTACTACTACTACTACTACTACTACTACTACTACTACTACTACTACTACTACTACTACTACTACTACTACTACTACTACTACTACTACTACTACTACTACTACTACTACTACTACTACTACTACTACTACTACTACTACTACTACTACTACTACTACTACTACTACTACTACTACTACTACTACTACTACTACTACTACTACTACTACTACTACTACTACTACTACTACTACTACTACTACTACTACTACTACTACTACTACTACTACTACTACTACTACTACTACTACTACTACTACTACTACTACTACTACTACTACTACTACTACTACTACTACTACTACTACTACTACTACTACTACTACTACTACTACTACTACTACTACTACTACTACTACTACTACTACTACTACTACTACTACTACTACTACTACTACTACTACTACTACTACTACTACTACTACTACTACTACTACTACTACTACTACTACTACTACTACTACTACTACTACTACTACTACTACTACTACTACTACTACTACTACTACTACTACTACTACTACTACTACTACTACTACTACTACTACTACTACTACTACTACTACTACTACTACTACTACTACTACTACTACTACTACTACTACTACTACTACTACTACTACTACTACTACTACTACTACTACTACTACTACTACTACTACTACTACTACTACTACTACTACTACTACTACTACTACTACTACTACTACTACTACTACTACTACTACTACTACTACTACTACTACTACTACTACTACTACTACTACTACTACTACTACTACTACTACTACTACTACTACTACTACTACTACTACTACTACTACTACTACTACTACTACTACTACTACTACTACTACTACTACTACTACTACTACTACTACTACTACTACTACTACTACTACTACTACTACTACTACTACTACTACTACTACTACTACTACTACTACTACTACTACTACTACTACTACTACTACTACTACTACTACTACTACTACTACTACTACTACTACTACTACTACTACTACTACTACTACTACTACTACTACTACTACTACTACTACTACTACTACTACTACTACTACTACTACTACTACTACTACTACTACTACTACTACTACTACTACTACTACTACTACTACTACTACTACTACTACTACTACTACTACTACTACTACTACTACTACTACTACTACTACTACTACTACTACTACTACTACTACTACTACTACTACTACTACTACTACTACTACTACTACTACTACTACTACTACTACTACTACTACTACTACTACTACTACTACTACTACTACTACTACTACTACTACTACTACTACTACTACTACTACTACTACTACTACTACTACTACTACTACTACTACTACTACTACTACTACTACTACTACTACTACTACTACTACTACTACTACTACTACTACTACTACTACTACTACTACTACTACTACTACTACTACTACTACTACTACTACTACTACTACTACTACTACTACTACTACTACTACTACTACTACTACTACTACTACTACTACTACTACTACTACTACTACTACTACTACTACTACTACTACTACTACTACTACTACTACTACTACTACTACTACTACTACTACTACTACTACTACTACTACTACTACTACTACTACTACTACTACTACTACTACTACTACTACTACTACTACTACTACTACTACTACTACTACTACTACTACTACTACTACTACTACTACTACTACTACTACTACTACTACTACTACTACTACTACTACTACTACTACTACTACTACTACTACTACTACTACTACTACTACTACTACTACTACTACTACTACTACTACTACTACTACTACTACTACTACTACTACTACTACTACTACTACTACTACTACTACTACTACTACTACTACTACTACTACTACTACTACTACTACTACTACTACTACTACTACTACTACTACTACTACTACTACTACTACTACTACTACTACTACTACTACTACTACTACTACTACTACTACTACTACTACTACTACTACTACTACTACTACTACTACTACTACTACTACTACTACTACTACTACTACTACTACTACTACTACTACTACTACTACTACTACTACTACTACTACTACTACTACTACTACTACTACTACTACTACTACTACTACTACTACTACTACTACTACTACTACTACTACTACTACTACTACTACTACTACTACTACTACTACTACTACTACTACTACTACTACTACTACTACTACTACTACTACTACTACTACTACTACTACTACTACTACTACTACTACTACTACTACTACTACTACTACTACTACTACTACTACTACTACTACTACTACTACTACTACTACTACTACTACTACTACTACTACTACTACTACTACTACTACTACTACTACTACTACTACTACTACTACTACTACTACTACTACTACTACTACTACTACTACTACTACTACTACTACTACTACTACTACTACTACTACTACTACTACTACTACTACTACTACTACTACTACTACTACTACTACTACTACTACTACTACTACTACTACTACTACTACTACTACTACTACTACTACTACTACTACTACTACTACTACTACTACTACTACTACTACTACTACTACTACTACTACTACTACTACTACTACTACTACTACTACTACTACTACTACTACTACTACTACTACTACTACTACTACTACTACTACTACTACTACTACTACTACTACTACTACTACTACTACTACTACTACTACTACTACTACTACTACTACTACTACTACTACTACTACTACTACTACTACTACTACTACTACTACTACTACTACTACTACTACTACTACTACTACTACTACTACTACTACTACTACTACTACTACTACTACTACTACTACTACTACTACTACTACTACTACTACTACTACTACTACTACTACTACTACTACTACTACTACTACTACTACTACTACTACTACTACTACTACTACTACTACTACTACTACTACTACTGCTACTACTACTACTACTACTGCTACTACTACTACTACTACTACTACTACTACTGCTACTACTACTACTACTACTACTACTACTACTACTGCTACTGCTACTGCTACTGCTACTACTACTACTACTACTGCTACTACTACTACTACTACTACTACTAGTTTTCCACCCTATTACTTAGTCACTTAACTAAGCGTACAATAGACTTCTAATCCTTCCACCCTATTTCGGTTAAATTTCTACAGTAAAGATGGAATTTTTCACTATGTGCTTTTACATTTTTATCCTGAGTAATCGACAGGACATTAGGTATACCCTATCAACATAGATGTTCTGTGACTCTTCTTCTTTGAGCTCCATTCTTTAGTCACCAGTTGTCGTATAAAAGCAAGCATTTCGGCCTAGGACCTCTCATGAACGTACATCAGTTGAAGTTATTATACTTCACGTTAGCTTACGGAGAGTGAATACTTCAGAAGAGAACGAGACATATAGGATTAAGCAACTGAAGATTATTAAAAGTGTACGGAATTTCAAAGATTGTGAATGGATCCATTTGCATTGATTTAGAACCATAACAATAGCTTCTTTTCCTACAGTCAGTCAGCAATGACCTTCCCCTTCAAACTAATTGATTTGCTCGAAGTTCTGATTTGTTCTAATCACCATATTACTCTAGTCACTAAAAACATTGAGTTATACTTCTGTTTATGCAGAAAAGTTGGATAAATGAAGACCATTTCTGCTGTTGTAATTTTGAGTTATGTTGCACATAAAAGCTGAGAAAGGTTAGTTAAGCCAATGAAACTCTAATTAAGAAACTATGATCTGGTTAGCAGCCCAGTCTCGTAGCTTATTTGTTAGAGCTTTGGGCTGGAAATCTGGCAGTCGCTGATTGAAATCCTCCTCCGGACCAGATTTTCATCTCACCTTCAATTATCCATCTCCCAGTATAAGTAAAAATTGTTTTTGAATACTTAAAGGTAGTTTTAATTTATAGGTAGTAAGTGTTACGATAAATCTAATTATTCGTCCTTGACACCATATCTATGCAATACAGTAAAGTCTATCCTAATATCACTTTTATGACCAGTTTCTAATATTTGTTTTGCAATCGATGAGGAAGGACATTTATTACCTGTACTTATCTAACTATTAGGGGTCATTTGTTTTTGCAGCCAACTAGTCACATGTTCAATCATCCTTAACTGCATATCATGATTGCTCTTCTCTAAATGTGTACACACACATACAGAGTAGCACTTAATGCATCATATGTTTCGGATAATCTCCGTCTTCTTATTGTTTAAATTTATCGAGGGGATTAATTGTTTCATTTAGTCGATATTTATTTATTGCTCATATCAGATTCATATGATTTGATTACGAACAATGAATTCTACTCGAAGTGTCACCCACTCTCTGTGTGCTATATCTAATAAGGAATCTAATGTGAAATTAAACTGGTTTCACTATGGTATGAATGATGGATAGTGGCTAGCGGTTGAATTCAGAATGGATGTTTCTTCATATTTTGGAATTGCCAGCTGGATGTTCCTGTCTCACAGTGAGTAATGTCGTTCCCAAGGTGTAGAACAAAGCACCACTCATCAAGAAAATATGAATTGGACCTGAACTGGAAATGTTTGCAAGAACACTATTTATCAGGATGCTGCAAAATGTTCGTTGAGTATTTATTTACACTTGTGATTTTGCCTACCCTAACCATAGTAACTCCGCTGATTTGCTATGGTTTGAGGTTGTTTAAGGATCCTATTCAACCTGGTAGTTGGGAACTAAACTCAGTACTATTGGGATCTAGGACACTGACTCATCTATCTGAGTTGCCCCTCCGCTTACAGTTGAATCACGAGTTTGAATTCCATTCCACCCAGACGACCAAGTAACATGATATCTGAGCTTTATCACAATGTATTACAGACGTTGCTTAGTATACAGAATTGTGCGTGAATGAACTTTATCGTCAGTAGGAACATGAATCTTGTTTTCGGATATGTAAAGAAGAGTAAATGATTAATGTACTGCCTTATAATCACGTTAATGAAGTATTGTGGATTGAATAGCTTATGAAAAGCCACGGACTGAGTGAATAAATTAGATCAGTTTCCCTAAGTGAATACTAGACAGATACTAATGTTTGCGATATGATAATGTTAATGTCTTTCATTTGTACACTCGGCTTACAGATAGTGGAATAACTTATCACTTTTTCTTGTCTTTATTGATTTATGTAGTTTATTATCAGTGGGTACCATTTGTGCTTGGTCTACAGTGTATAATGTTCTACTTACCTCGACTGATATGGCAAATGATATGCTACAATAGAGTTGGGACAGATGTACAACACTTAGTACTCAGTGCTAATCAAGCAGTCCATGCAAGCGAAGAACAACGAACAAAAATGGTACAACACTTAGCAAAGACATTGGAACAACTTTTATTTCAGGTAAGCATTAAACAGATACTTGAGTATTCTCAACTGTTTAAGTCGATTTTGATGAGGAATGCATTGGCGTTGATTTGGATATTATTGCTAACACGTTATCTATCATAAGTGGCAATTCTATGGTGAAATCCCATTTGTGTGTTTTCATCTTGTTAAGATAAACGGGTCTTTAAATTCTCCAACAACTTCTGTGCAATTATTCTCACTTACAGCAGATTATGCGATCATGATTCTTAGAATTCAACGGAATTGTCTGTCCAACTTGGGATTTGTTTCTCCACGTCAGGTTGGTATTCGTCATGAACAGATATTAGTTGGAGAAACATTGAAAACCTGGAAGCACTGGACATCTGTTTTGTCCTAGTATGGGACTCCCAGCAATGCGCACTCACGACCCCACCACACCAACAGTCAAACCCAGGACCTTCAGGTCTCGCAGCCAGCATGCTGCCATTGAACCACTGGGTTGGAATCCAATACTTCATATTTCCTACTTTTGTTGACAAAATCTCAGCTCGGTTTCAAAAAACCTGTTCGGCGTTAGCTAACTTGTATCATCTCTGGCACCAGGCATTTTTGCAGCACTGTTGACGTATGATAGAATGATAGGGAAGCCAATTTAGAGGCTAGGTGGAGGACACTAGCTAAGATAAGCGAGTCAGTCAGTGAGGTTGCACATACAGAGACATTGCCTACTTCGATACTCAATGCCAGGTGAAGTACGACTGGGTTGGCAGAATGTTTGGGGCGGCCAGACTAAGACGTGGCACCGGTTCATGAAGTCTCTGACTCTTGCTCCTAATCGAGTAAGGAAACGTAGAGTGTCTGGTTGGGATCGCCACGATGACATTAATCATTAGTTGGACAGCCTTGGTGGCATGTCTCAAAGTCCATCATAATAGTGTGCTGATGTATTCACTTTTCGACGTCTTCTAAAGTCTAGGCAACTTTATTAACTCTTACTCTGAAATTTCTTTTCCTCCTTTGTCTTCTTCACTATCACTCACTTGGCGCGCATTTGTTCTTTGCATGCTACTGTGAAGTGTGTGGCACACTGAATCGATGCCATTCTGTGCTTGGTTATAGGTTAATTTTGTCTTTTTGTCTGTTTATCTATTCGTCTGTCATTACTTGGTCGTTTTGCTTAGTTTCTATGGTTCAAGTTTCAATATTATCGCTGAAAATGCCATTACTTAATTTATACCGCATTACCCAGTATAAATTGTGTAATAATATTTTCAGTGATAATATTGAAACTTGAATTATCAAAAATAAACAAAAAGGTGAAATGGAAATTTGAACCGTGGCCGGATTCGAAACACTGACCACCGGGTTCCCGTCCCAAAACTCTGTCACCTAAGCTATGATGTCCAAGTATTGACCAGTTTTTTATTTCACTGAAGTCACCAAGGGTTTTACCCGACTACCATGTGAATTCGTGATGCTTACTACCACTTGATCGTATTCACACTGGCTGCCTAGTCATGACTTCTCATCCTAATCCAAATCTAACTGAATCAGACAAGGGGAGCATCATATTGATTATCATTTTGACTACCTAAGTGAGATAGCTGTGGTTTGGCAGACTGTTATTTATACTGGGTGATGAATAAAGGTGAAATAAAATCTGGTCAGCAGTGGGACCCCGGAGCTCAGTAGGTAGAGCATCGAGCCGGAAACCCAGCGGTCGCATTTAGAATCTGGCCTTGGTCCAAATTTTCACTTCACCTTCAGTTATCAACCAGTATAAATAGTAATCTGTCAAACTACGACTATCTCAGATAGTCAAAACAATAATTACCGATGCTGAATCCATATGGAGATAATGTGTAGTAGTATTTAGAATCTTATAATCCAAATGGACTAGATATCAGAAACTGCAAATTGTTATGATTCCTCCTACCTATCTCAATGACTAAGCTTCAATAGGTCTAATTCCATGTTACCTAGTTTATTCAATATAGTCCACAGTGATACTATGTTATATACTGGATGGCATTTCCAGCAGAATCTATTGCTGGTAATCACATCAAAGTAAACGGATTAAGTAAGATTCTTAAATTATTCAGAGGGTACATATTAGCTTACAAAGGGGCAAAAACACGTTAGAGCAAATAAATAAACAAAGGACTAAGTATTAGTTGGATGGAGGCAGTTGGCTGCCAGACCAACATTTTATGTTTGTTGGCACACGTCAGCGAGGTGTATTTGCAACCTCAAAGGAACTGATGTCCCCTGGGAGATTCAAACCAGCGTCACCTAGTGCTCCAGTTGGAGACTTTATTGTTCGTCTATTTGGGACGTGATTAAGTAATAGGAAAGACAAAAGTTGACTCAGGTAAGATAAATTTGTTACTGATTGGTGTTTAATTTACTCACTGTAGAAATAATAATGATGGAAAGAAAGAGGAAAGATTAATCTGACAAAAAGAAAAAAGTTGAAGAAAAAACGCCGTTGGAAAAAATGAAGTGTTACTGCTAAAGTCGATACAAAAATTTGTATACTTCTTTTGTACACAAAAGCCAGGCTTCAATTTGCAAACAGCCAAGATCTATGCTGTTTCTTAGGCATTGAAAACGTGGCATATTCAGGTGAATTGAATAAGCGATCTTCAAGTTATGAAATCAATCAAGTTTTAAAGCGATCTGGACATGAAATTCGCCTATCACAACAAAATTAAGTCAGTGGATAAACAAATTTTGTATCTGAGTATAGTAGGGATATAAAAGGTTTGAGTAAAATGGGAAAGAAGAGCACTAAGAGAAATCTATAAGTAAGATCATTCATTAAATCTTTCATGGCCCAAGGCACGAATAAAGGGCGCATAAATTTCTACCAAACAGAAAGGTTAGAAGTGTGATTTGCTTAACGATAGCTAGCAATGAAATCCATAACACATGTTCCGTCCTATTCGGCGCTCGTCGGCTAGATGAACCTGCACCTCAGTGAATGATGTTGTTCCTGTTGAAAGTCGAATTCAGCACCCATCGCTTCAAACACCATAGCGTCATCTACACACTTTGAGGTTACAGTACACCTTCCTTTAACTTGCCGCCTTTTGTATGTACTGGGGAATTGAACCAACATTAAGTGTGAAATCTGAAAGTCATTGTTCATATATGTATAACTGGGATATATCAGTTCAAAAATCCATGGCACTGCGCTCTGTGGGTTAAAATTTGCTTTATTCCATTGTCAATATGAAGGTAGGATTGATTTCTCACATGACCTTTGAAGACACACATTACAAACCTGATTGGTGCATTTCAGTTAGTACCTAGAGTTAGACAACACATCAATTTACCATTGACGACAAACTGATGTGTGCAGCGCATTGTGTCTTACATTACTTGTGATTTACGGTTGTAACCGATACACGTTTATGTTCACGGAAACATATCACTTGGTGTTAGCTTTATTCAAGCTCTCACTTCATGACTATCGCCTTTACACAAAAGCAACGTAGAAGTGGATAGTAAGTCCATATCAGGTTACATACAACCACTACTGACCTTGGTAAGTACTTCTGAGCTCTTCTTAATTTAAATGGAGCTGTGGCTCAATGGTTTAGGGGGATAACTATCAGTCAATAGGTCACTTATTCGAATCCCGCTTCACCTACCGAGGCTTAGACAAGCAGGTGGTATCACTTACCCTCTTACAATAGATGTGGTTTATTGCCTATTACACAGATATGCACAAGGTGACTGAGTGCGTTTCATCCGTCTGTTTGTTTGTTCCTCAGTCTGAATGCAAACCCCTGGTGGGATATCTTTATCATGAAGTATGTAAAACAGTAATACATTTCCATTTGAATGTGTGCCAAGTTACTCAACGACAGCATTGAATAGAGGTTATGCTATATCGTGAATTGATAGGAGTAGGAAATGTGGACCAGTGGATTCCAACCGACTGATTTAATGGCAACATGCTAGCCGCAGAACCTAAAGCTCATGGGTGTACAGCTACTGAGGGGTCCGATGTTAGGACGAATCAGCTGCCCACTGTTCCCAGGTTTACAGTGTTCCTCCAACTAATGTCAGTTCATGATGAACACCAATGTGAAGTGAGTAAATTCTCACAGGCCCTCAAATTAAATTAATCTAGTGCTCATTAATGACTATCTTCGAGAGATGATTCCCGCAGCTCAAATGAGAAGTCATGACCAGTGAGGGAAACATGGTGACCGTGAGGAGAAATACTCATTGATGATATTGAGTGGTGGTCGCGTTATGTCGTGATGTGACAGAACTCGGAAATATGGAGTATTGGATTCCGACTTAATGGGTTAGTGGTGACATGCTGGCAGCGGGACGTGAAGGTCGTGGGTTGGGTCTGTGGCTGGATGGGGTCATGGGTGGGCACTGGTGAGGAGTCCCATACCAGGAAAAAACAGCTATTCAGTGCTCTAGGATTTTCAGCGGTGTTTCAGCTGATATCAGTCCATGACGAATACCTATGCGCCGTTATGTATTTGTTAAAAGTCCAATGTTATTAGTGTTTCATAGTTTAGAATTAGACATGATTGACATCTATAAGTAGGATTTATTATGATTGTTCTATATGTTGTGGAAATGTAGTCTAGACAGAGGTTGAAAACGCAGTATGTATCTGTCCCACTTATTTCAACCGTTGTTTTGTAAATTAGGTTTTTAGTTTCTAAAGCAGGAGAGAATAAAAATTTCACAGGAATGTAAGTTCACTCATTCAACATTAAATGACACAAAGTCCTGAATGTTATTTATCATGGCATAACTTACTAGTCTAGTTACTTGACTATCAATCAAGTGGCTCGTGGGTTCGAACCCCACTCCACCTACCGAAATCTGATATGCTATGACCCTCCAAACCAACCGTCTATATCAGAACACTAAATCTGGTGCTTATTGTTAGTATATATTTCAGGCGATTTGACTCATCTGTATATACAACTAAATTACCTGACCACAAACAATCGATTTCAAGCACAACCAATGAGGTAATGGGTTTCATACTTCAA